CGAAGCGCTTCTCCAGGGCCTCGAAGCGAGCCAGGAGACGGGGCTCCCCCCGCAGCCCCTGCAGCAGCAAAGGCAGGGCACGATGCAGCCCCCCCCAGGGAGGTGCAGACCCCTGGGGGGGCCGCTTGCTCCACAGGAACCCCTGTGAAAGGGGACCCAGGCCACCCAGTCCCCAGAGTCAGTGGCATCTTATTCATCTGCTGCTTCCCAGGAGCGGGCAGATGTTCCCCCTGCTCCATCCCTGGGACACCCTGAGAGTGAGATGGCCACAAGCTGGGGGAGCCATCTCCACCAGCATGGAGCCACCATCTGCCCCATCCTCCACCACTTCCCCGTCCCCTGGAAGGGCTCCTTCAGCCATGGACCACACTGTCCTGGCTCTCCCTGCAAGACACCCACCCCACCTGGGCCACCACCGCACCTTTGCCAAGGCTTACCGGGTCCAGCGTGGTCAGATCCCCTGCCCCAGGTACTTCGGAGGAGGAAAGCTTTCCAGCTCCCCACCACGGGAAGGCGGGGAGGCTGAGTGTCGACAGCCCATACGGGTAGAAGTACCAAGCTCCTGGACATGCAGAGGGATGAGACGGTTAAAACACCAGGCCAGTAACGTGCCACAGTGGGGGACAGGGTGGACATGCTCAGCCATGAGCATCGCCTGGGGTTACCAGGAGGTCCCAGCACAGGGGTGCAGATGCACCAGGGTACCAGCAGCCACAAGCACTGAGCTTGGTGCCATCCCATCCCCCGGGTATGGCAGTGGGATGCTCTGCACTGCCCCAGATCTCAGGGCAACAGATCAAGCCAGGCCGACTCACCGTAGGCGGCAGCAGCGAGGAGGAGGAGCAGCAGCAGCAGAAGCAGGGACCTCTTCAGCCGTGGGTAGCGCCTGGAGCACAGAGAAGAAAGAGGTGCCTACAGGAGGCTGCAGCCACCTTCCTCCACCGCAGCGCTCCTCTGGATGGGGGCCAGAGGGAAAGCAAAGCCCAGCCGGGCTTTGGCACAAGACACCCACCCCACGTGTGCTGGGCTCTGCGGGGCACCCCCTCTCCAGGGTCCTGTGGATTTTCCCCGTGCCTCCCACATCCTGGTGTTCTGCCACCATGCTCACCTGGAAAAGGGGATGCCGCCCAGGTGGGGAGCCATGCCGGTGAGGCGGTGCCAGGCAGCTGCCAGCCCAGAGAACACCCAGCCCACGAACCGAACTGCCGGGAGAGAAACCAAGCCTCAGGCAGGGTCCTGGCAGAGATGTCCCTTCCGTCCCCTAGGATGCTCCCACAGGGAGCTAAAACCCCTCCACCCGATCAGGGAACAGCACACACAGCACACAGGGAAAGGAGATGCTGGCAGGGAAGAAAGGTGCTGCTAGCAACCCCCCCACCGGCCCTCCACTCACCCGGGGAAGTGAGCACTTGCCAGAGGAAGGAGCCCACCCGGGAGGCTGCAGTCCTCAGCCCTGACCCGGAGCTACTCTGGCCTGAGTAAAAGTGACCTGGAAAGGAAGAAGCAAGGCAGTAAGTCACCAAACGGAGCCTGCATCCCTGTGCATCACCCAGGGCAAAGGCTTTGCACAGGGGGTGGCATGCAGAGGGGGCTGGCAGCACCCTGGGCACAGCCAGGCCCTGGACTGGTCCCCCTGGGGACATCTCCCCAGCATCCCTACCGGCGTAGTCATCTTCTGAGGAGTACCCAGACGAAGAGGCATAGGTGTCATACGTCTTGCTCTCCAGCAGCCCGTTGATCTTACTGGACTCTGTGTCCCCTGTGCCTCTTCTCCTCCTGGTGGAGAGCTCCCCACCTGCCCCCAAAACACAGTCCCCCTGAAAAACCAGCCACCACCATCCCCAAAGGGGGCAATCCGGTCAGCCGGCGTGGGGGGCTGCCCCAACACCCCCCTGGTGCCCAGGGAGGTCCCCAGCTGCCACAGGAGGGAGGGCTCACCCCAGTACATGCTGCTGTCCAGGGCATCATCCAGCATGGAGCTGCCCAGGGCGGCAAGGCCCCGGCTGCCCCCCAGGTAGGACTCGCTCATCAGGGACTCGCTGTAGTAGGAGGTTTGGGTGCTGGGGGCGGGAGAGAGGCGCTTTGTGCTGCTCGATTTCCTCCTGATCATCCTGCTGGGGGCAAGAACAGGCTCATCAGCCATGCGTGGTTATGGGGTGAAGGGGGAGGGGTGGTGTCACAGTGCACCCATGGGGGAGAAAAGGGGAATTCACCCCAATCCCTCGGCCGGCATCACTTCCTTCTGCCCCCCCCTGCCATACTGGATGGCAGGTTTCGGAGGGTGCAACCGCTGCTTTGCGAAAGGCCCTCCCGCCTGTCCCCAGGCAGCTGCCAGCACCACTTCCGCTCGCACTGCTGCGGTTTTCTGGCCCAGCACTTGCAGCGCACCTCCCTCCCGCCATCAAGCCGGAGGCGGCCACGGCTGGGAGGAGGGAGGCAGCTGCCCTGAGCCGCCCACGGCAGCCTCCTGTGCCGGGGCGGGGGGGGGGGCTGAGGGGGCGAGGTCAGGGAGTGCGGGGGCGGGGGGGGACGCAGAGGAGGCAGGGTCAGGGAGCACAGGGCTTTTGCTGGAGTGGGGGCACAGCCAGTGCCGGCGGCCATGCTGAAACGCAGTGAGCTCACCGTCACGCTCCCTTCTGCAAGCCACCCTGATGCCCCACCCTGGGAAGATGCCCGGTCCGTGGTGTGGGACAGAGTGCCCTGGCCACGTCTGGGAGGGGTGACCCCTGCACCCCACTAACCTGCCGGTGCTCTCCTTGAAGGGGAGCTGCTGGGCCCCCA